TGAAGTTTAGCACAGCTTTTCACCCCCAGACCGATGGACAAACAGAAAGAACGATTCAGACGCTCGAAGATATGCTCCGACTATGTGTGTTAGATTTCAAGGGAAGTTGGGAAGTACATCTACCGTTGGTAGAATTCGCTTACAACAACAGTTACCAAGCTAGCATTGGCATGGCACCCTACGAAGCTTTGTATGGAAGGAAGTGTAGATCGCCGATATGTTGGACTGAAGTAGGAGATAAAGCTTTGATTGGCCCCAAGCTAGTTCAAGTCAAAACCGAGAAGATTAAACTCATTCGACAATGGATCAAAACTGCTCAAAGTCGACAGAAGAGCTATGCCGACCAAAGAAGAAGAGAGTTGGAATTTGAAGTTGGGGATCATGTATTCCTGAAGGTTTCACCAATGAAAGGGACTTCTAGATTTGGGAAGAAAGGTAAGTTAGCACCTCGTTACATCGGGCCGTTTGAAATACTTGAGAAGGTTAACCCAGCTGCCTATAGACTGGCTTTATCACCGGAACTAAGTCAAGTTCACAATGTGTTCCATATTTCGATGTTGAGGAAGTATATTCGGGATCCCCTGCATGTAATTGATTATTCCGGGATTGTGGTTAATGAAGAATTAGACTACGAGGAGAAGCCGATAAAAATTATTGACAGACAAGTGAAACAGTTGAGGAACAAATCGATACCAATGGTGAAAATTGAATGGAAAGAGCATTACGGCAGGGATGCTACGTGGGAAATGGAAGAAGAAATGAAAATCCGTCATCCGGGGTTAGTTGTAGAGCAAGGTAATTTAAGTTTGGGGACCAAACTTCTTTAAGAATGGTAGGATGTAACAACCCTCACTCTACTCCAGTCATGCTTGCATATATTACATGATCTTGTCTTGATATGTTGCATTTTGCAATCCTTGATTTGTTTTGCTTAAGTGTTTCTTGCATGTTTTGTACCTTGCTTGGTGTGAGTTTAGCCGAGGTCATCTTCAGTCTACAATTATCTTGAAACCACTTTGTTTGACCTCCACATTCGCCCTGACATATTGGCCGAGATGTCATTATCTAGGCCGAGGTGTTTACCACCAAGGCCAAGATGTGTATTATTTAGGCCGAGATGTTACCTTTGCACCTAAGTGATCTTGTCCTGGAGTGGTATGACCTAGACCGAGTGTGGCACATCTAGGCCAAGGTGTGGCACAGTTAGGCCAAGTGTTGTCCTTCCTAGCCAAGATCATTGTTCCCCTACTTGCCGATGCCTTGTTCTTAGCCGAGATCATTACCTGCCGGAGTGCCTATGCCATCTTGCTTGTAGAACGCACCTTGTCATGGTCTTGTCTTTTCACTCAGTCACCTTTTTTAGTAGAGCCAACCAGCCGTTGCCACGTGTCCCAGCCGAGTGTTAAGTCAGCCAGCAGACCTAGAAATGTATCATTTGCTTTATGCCTTTGTTCTTGAGGAGAGAGAAGCTCTAGAAGAGAGAGAAGGAGTTCTTAGACGAGGGATAGATTTTCCAAGCTCGATCTTCACACCTCGAGCCGTTAGATTCGTGTATTGAGGTTAGAATCTTAATCTACTCTTGTTGTTCTTATTGATCATCTAGCTACATTGCGTGATCGAACCTGATTTGCAAGCCATGCATCGATTTAAAGTTTGGTTTTAGAAAGAGAAAATGATATTCATGTGTTCTTGAAGAAAAAGTCTTGTTTGATCCGAAAGTTTGCATCAAGATTCATGTTTTGTGTTTGTTTTCTTAAAATCTTCGAGTATGAGTACCCAGGTTCATATTTTTGAATTCATAGCATGAAAACTCAAATTTTGTAATGATAAGTTACGATCTTTGCATCCATGTCCTTCATATTCATGTTCTTCAAGAAAGGAAAACCCAGATTTTCCCGACTTCATTTTCTTGAATGTGGCCATTGGGACCACACCTCGGCAAGGAGGTGTGGGACCTCGGCCCAGACCTGGTTGGTGCCCAGCAAGTTTCCCGAAATGAGAAACAGTGTTTTGTTTTGGTCCGACTTAGTTTTGAAGGAATGTTGTAGCACAACCTTTGAAAGTTCGTACGTGCTAGGGGACTATAAGCATTTGTAGCACAACCTTTGAAAGTTCGTACGTGCTAGGGGACTATAAGCATTTGTAGCACAACCTTTGAAAGTCCGTACGTGCTAGGGGACTATAAGCATTTGTAGCACAACCTTTGAAAGTTCGTACGTGCTAGGGGACTATAAGCATTTGTAGCACAACCTTTGAAAGTTCGTACGTGCTAGGGGACTATAAGCATTTGTAGCACAACCTTTGAAAGTTCGTACGTGCTAGGGGACTATAAGCATTTGTAGCACAACCTTTGAAAGTTCGTACGTGCTAGGGGACTATAAGCATTTGTAGCACAACCTTTGAAAGTTCGTACGTGCTAGGGGACTATAAGCATTTGTAGCACAACCTTTGAAAGTCCGTACGTGCTAGGGGACTATAAGCATTTGTAGCACAACCTTTGAAAGTCCGTACGTGCTAGGGGACTATAAGCATTTGTAGCACAACTTTTGAAAGTCCGTACCTGTTAGGGGACTATAAGCATTTGTAGCACAACCTTTGAAAGTCCGTACGTGCTAGGAGAATATAAGCATTTGTAGCACAACTTTTGAAAGTCCGTACGTGCTAGGAGACTATAAACATTTGTAGCACAACCTTTGAAAGTCCGTACGTGCTAGGGGACTATAAGCATTTGTAGCACAACCTTTGTTAATGTCACCCCTTGAATTTGAAAGCCTTGAAAGACTTTGATTGATGAAGCTTGAAAGACTTGTTAGATGAACTTGTTTTGTCCTTAATTTTGTGCAAGATATAATATGTGTAGCTTTGATAAAGATCTCGGATATTATTCATGCAAACCCTTTATTACTTGTACCATTCACTGAGTATCCAAGCTCACCCTCTCTATATATATGTAGGTGATGAACAAGACGGCGGTGACGCCTAGACGTGCTTGCAATTTGTTTTGGATTTAGCATTTTTGCAGCATCTTGAAGATCATGCTTCTTGGTTGTATTCCCTTGTATTTTGTATTTGACAACTTGAGAAGCCTTTTGGTCAAGATGCATTTTTGTACTTCCTTTTGTTTGTATTCAGGATTGTAAAACTATGTAATGATGTATGCCATTCCATTTGATTTATGCACAGCTCTTATGGACTACTTAGTTTTAAATTTATCGCTTCCGCACTTGTAAGCCCCACATGTATACTCTGCTGTGTGTAGGGCTGCCAATAAGTCCCACCATGAGAACATCATGAAGGCACAAGTAGGGCTGTAAACGAACCGAGCCGTTCATGAACAAGGTCGAGTTCGGCTCGTTCAAACACGGCTCAATTAATAAACGAGCCGAGCTCGAACTTAAATTTTAAGCTCGTTTAACAAACAAGCCGAGCCCGAGCTCAATAATACTCGGTTTGATAGGCTCGCGAGCTCAAACATATATATATATATATATTATACAATATGTATATATTTACATAATATATAAATAAATATAAATATAATTAATAAAATATTAAACTTACAATTTTTTTTCTATTATATATGTGTCCATTTTTCCTATTATATATGTGTCCATACATATATATATATATTGTAACTTCAACTTTTGAATCATTTGCTTCAGCTTTAGTTGACTGAAGAAGCAATGGGCAACCACGTGGGACTTTTATAAGCATTCACCTTTGAGAATAATTTTGTCATGGACCGATGTGGGACTCTTTTGGGCAATTCCTCACAGCAACAAAACGGCGTCGTTTTGCTGTATCATGTTTCAAACAATCTGTCCCACATCATTTACACAATGTTGTTCAAGGCAAAGTGATATCTATTTATGTTATGTGTAGTAGTAGGCTGGCTTGAAGTCTTGTTTCAAGTGTTCCATGAGTTTCACTTGGCTAACGAGCCATAACGAGCCGAGCTCGAGTTAGACAAATTTTATGCGAGCCGAGCTCGAGCTGATATATTTGAGCTCGCTTCGAGCTCGAGCCGAGCTCGAACATCTTGAAAATAAATCGAGCCGAGCTCAAACAATGATAAACTCGACTCGGCTCGGCTCGATTACACCCCTAGTTGTGTGTGAAACCTTGCAAGTTGGCCTTGGGTAATTGTAAATTACTGGCCATCATGACACCATTCTACTAGGGGCGAAATGGGGTCATGACAATAAGATTCCTATCAAGTTCAACAGTGGGTGGGTTAAGAGAGAAGAAAAAATAAGAAAAAAGGTTTAAAAAAATGGATGTGACTGAAATGAAAATGTCGAGAGACAGATGAGCGGTGTTACAAAAAAAATCATAAATGAATCTATAGAAAAGAAGTTAGGAGTGGCGTCAATTTGAAGGAAAAATTATTCAATATTTCCAAAGTCCTCCCTAACCACTTATCATTCAATATGCCCCTTATGTTCCCCAACCACCCAATGCAATGTCCCACCTACTCACCTACACACTTTCTCCACCAATCCTAATATGAAATACCACGTGTCCATACTCCAGAATTACTGAATAATTACCCATATTGACGGGAAAGTCATTTGAGATGGGACCGGTCATGTGCGTTGTAGACCAATAAAAGAGCCTATAAAGTTATTAGATCCATGTGACGGGTGGTAAAGAAAAATGGAGGAAGACACAGTTGAGATGATAAGAAATGATATGACTATCCATCCATATATAGGCTAGCCGACCCCAAATAATCGGACAAAACATTGTTGACTTGTGTTGAGTAAGTTGAAGGTTGTAGGAGAAGACCTTCAAGTTGATTTCATGAGCAGATGGGTACTAAAATGGATATAGAAGGGATTTAATACTCCTAATTGATGAGTCCTAAATCTTAATGCAAGTATGATTAGATTGCAATTTGATCTGTCACAAATAAAAATTAATTAAACCCTACAATATATCTTCAGTTGGGATGAAGGCAAGGGTTAGGAGATAAGAGTGGGGGCTGGCTGGGGGTTTACCTTGGCAGAGCCCATATCATTTCTCTTGGCAGCTTCTTTAATTGCTTTCTGCACACTTTTCTCTTCTCTCTGTATATCTATTATGCCCAACACACACACACACACACACACACAAAACAAAAAAACAAAAAAACAAAAGGAGAAGAAGAAGAAGAAGAAGACGTAAGATTAAAAAAAATTAATACAACAATCTAAAAGATTCAGTAGGTATGAAAATCAAAAATTGCCTCGGATTTGGCGTTCGATATTGCGGCACTCTTGGCGGAGACGACGCTGCCAGTCCCTCAATTGCTCTTGGGGATTGGCTTTTGGCTTCAACATATTCTTCATTTTCTCCATCTTCCCAGATTAGGATCAATGGAATGATCGGATCTTTCTGTTACGTTGCGATCTACAGTTGGTTGGTTGGTTGGTGATTCTGAGTCAATCGATCGATCAATTTTCAAAGCCTCTCACGCTTCGAACTCGTTGCGGATTTTGGCTGAGATGATGAGACTAATCTTCCATGGAAATTATTCGGACCTACTTTTTTTTCTTTCTTGCCAGTTCAGAGAGAGAACGCGCGTAATGGGTTGAGTTGAGCTTGGGCCGCTATGTCCCGCGTCTCAACTGATTTGGGCTTTCGAAGATTCCTTTCCTTGTGCCGCCGACTAAATTATGTGCCAATAATACAGGACTAATAAAAAATTGAAAAAAATGCATTTCAATAACAGAAATGCCTTCCACCCTGCGTGAGGATCCTCTAGAGTTTCTTCTCTAGAGTGATCTCTCTACAGTGAGATCCAATGGTTGATATTAAGAGATAAAAAATGACATCGTTTGATATTTTTTTTTAAAAAAAAAAAATTCAAATTCAAAACCAAAAACAACAACAACAAAGACTAGGCTCTGTTTTTTTTTTCTCTTCCTGACCCAACGTTTTTTTTTTCCTTTCTTCCTCACAGATTTGAAGGACCATGCTTTGTTTTGTTTCTATGGTACACTTTGATTCTTCAAACTTCAACTACCCAACTGCTACTAGCAGTGAGTGAGAAAAATAAATACAAAATAAAGTCACTCAACATCTTCACGACTCCTCTCTCTCTTTGCTTCTTCTCTAATCTCTACCTCAAATCTTAAATTTTCAATGAAATCTGAGATGGGTATCTCAGAAAACTTTTGAAAAAGGAAAAAAAAAAAATCAGATCTCAGAGCATTGCTGTTCAGATTCAAGAAATTGATCGGTTCAGATTTGCAATCAAAATAAAGAAAGAAGAATCTATCTTTGATGATGTTTTGAAACCTGATTTTTTTTTTTTTTTTTCAAAATTGCTCACGAGGCTGAATCTCAAGCTGTTCTTCAAGTTCTTTCTCAGCCCCTTCTCCCTTTCTTCCTCTCTCTCTCTCTCTCTCTCTCCTCCTCTTGCGTTCAAACTGTAAAACAAAGAATTTTTTTTTTGGGATTGATCTCAGCCATTGGCTTCATTAGTGGGACAGGTGTCGGGCTGTGAAGGATCACTCTAGAGGATCACTTCACCACTTCACTCTAGAGGATCCCAACGCTTCGAGCCTAGCGGTTACCTCACCACCCCCACTGTGTTTTGATTTGAAATAATAATTGGAGAAAGTGAGAGAAGATAGAGATGAGCGAATAGAGAGAGAGAGAGAGAGAGAGAGGCACAATTGTTTCTATGAATTGTACATGTCTATTACACAAAGAAGGCACTCTATTTATAGAGGATGCCTTGGATGCCTATGAACAATAACATAATGCTACACTAACATAATGCACTAACATAATGCTACACTAACATAATGCACTAACATAATGCTACACTAACATAATGCACTAACATAATGCTACACTAACATAATGCACTAACATAATGCTACACTAACATAATGCACTAACATAATGCTACACTAACATAATGCACTAACATAATGCTACACTAACATAATGCACTAACATAATGCTACACTAACATAATGCACTAACATAATGCTACACCTGAAAGTAATGTTTAATTTTAAAATATAAGTCTCAATACAATCACATTATTCTATTTATAAAAATTTATATATTTATAATGTAATAATAATTAAGGAACTTACTAGTAAATCTTAATAGGTGGAATTATTATCTAATAAGTCTTATGATAATTAATGACGTTTTTTTTTTATCAAATACTATTACAAAAGTTACTAATTGTTAATTTTCAGTGACAATTTCAACTTGGTGTCACAAAAAATGTCACTGACTATAAGTTTTAACAACCGTTTAAAAAAATCGTCACAAAAAAGTCATTAATTTTCAACTTTCAGTTACAGTTTTAAAAATTCATGATAGAAAATCGTTACTAAAATTTATAAAAATCGTGACCAAAAAAATCACTAATTTCAATTTTTAGCAACATACGCAAAATATCATCACAAAAAATTATTTTTAATAACAATTTTATTATGATTTTTTTTAATAGGACTTGATGAGAATTAACTCCAACTATTACGACCTAAGGTATACTACCAATATGTCCTTATAGTTAGACTTAATTCTCATCAAATCCTATTAAAAATAAGTCTCAATAAAATCATCGCTAAAAATAATTTTTTGTAACGATTTTTTACATGTCTCTAAAAATTAACAATTAGTGACTTTTTTGTCACGATTTTTATAAATTGTCACTAAAATTTACAATAGTGACGTTTTTCGGTCAATTTTTTTTCAAAATATCGCTGAAAGTTAAAAATTAGTGACTTTTTTGTGATGATTTTTGTAAACTATTGCTAAAAGTTATAATTAATAACATTTTTTGTGACAATTTTCAAATTGTCGCTGAAAATTAATAATTAATGACTTTTTTTTAATAATATTTGATATAAAAATCATTAATACTCACAGCACCTATTGAACAATAAGCTCACTTATAGATCTTCATATAATTCTTCTTAGAATAATGCTTGAGACCACTAATTAGTGGTGACACTAATGATGTGACAGTAGTGTTGTTTTTCAATGGTGATTGATACCACTAATTTGGTACTACTAAACCACCACTAATAAGGTGAATAATAAAAAAAAAAAAAAAAAAAGCACAACAACACTGTGGCAGTGGGTGGAGCCCACTGCCACATCATTACACTAATTAGTAGTCTCAAACATTTTCATTTTATTTATTTATTTATTTATTTATTTTTCACCTCATTAGTGGTGGTTTAATGGTACCAAATTAGTAATACCAATCACTATTATTCTTCCTAATATTTATTGGTAATTTACCCTAACAACTAGTTGTAGCCTCACCACACCTAAACGTTTTTATATAAAAATAAATAAATAAATAAAAACTAGATAGTTGTAAAAGTGAAATAAAAAGTGCACTTGATCAGATTGATAAAGATGGTATCAATACACTATTGTACTGAAAATTCATTCTCATGTCGAGTATTGTAGTTTGAACTTTGATACATCATTTACCAAGTAATGCACAAAAATAAATAAATAAATAAATAAAACCTCACACACAAAAAATAAATAAATGTACAGATTAATTATGGATATAGCTGAATGAGCCGCACTATTTTTATTTTATTTTTTTACTTTTTTTTTATACACTTTTTCATGCACTTAACCTTAGGCATTATTTTCCTCAAAAAACACTCTCTGTTCCTATCATTTTGTTTCCCTCAATAAATGCTTAAATGGATTGGGGTGACTTGACGATATGGGTTGGAAAAAAATCTGATTTCTTTTCCCCAAATATTTCATATAATAATCAAATTAATTAATCCATCTTCTTGATTATTTTTTTTCAAAAAAAATATAAATCTAAGTTATATACTTCAATGTTAATGTAAAATCCATTCATTTGAAATGCAGAAAACTAAAACACTACTGTGCTCACCTCCCCACAGCAATCTTAACACCACTGGTCATAATTAGCTGAAACAAAGAGGTTGTTTGGCAAGAAAAAAATAATCTAGTTTAGGCTAAAATTTACAAAAAAAAAAATAAACTAAAATAGCTAATAAGACAAAATATCACAGCAAACCCATAATTATTTCACTTTTTCTCTCACAAACATCATATTTAACTATAAAGAAAAATCAATCATCTTCCCAACATAAAAATTTTAGTCTACTAAAATAGTCAAAAACTAAAAATAGCCTACTAAAATAGCAACTTCCCAAACGAAGCCAAATTTTACCGGCAAGAAGACTGATTCAGAGGATTAAGGGACTGATTAGAATTTAGGGTTGCAAAAGAACTATGCGTTCGTACACAATAGTAAGAAACGAGGTGTCTATACAAGATAGTGTATCAAAAGAAAGACAGAAAATGATCAAGGAGAGACTTCGTCGAGTTCAATGTCGCCTTGTTTTTGTCCGTTGCTGCTCACAGTAATCAACACACTGGATTGTCCATTCTTGCTGTCTCCCGCAACATTAGTATTGTCTGCCTTGTTCTGTAAAAAGAGTAAGAGATGAGACCAACTTAACATTGTGATCATGGCTGAACAGACGGCACATGTGGTATAATTGGTTAAATCAATTAGTAAGTAAATAAATTAAACACTTCTACAAGATTATAGTTCACAGGAACAAATAGAAACCCTATCAGTGAGCAAGCTTAACAACTCATGTTAGGAAGAATATAAAGCACAAACTTTTTGTTGTGTTTACATATGAAATATGGTTTCCCAAAAACATGATTCACCTTGTTTAGTTCCAATTTTCGAACTCAAATTTTCTAAAAATTGATTTTTTTTTGTTTTTCATATTTGTTTTGTTTTTGAGAAAATTAGTGAAACATCCCTCTAACTTCGTGTAGTAGGAGAGGTCTAAAATGTTTTTTATTAGCTAAGGTCCCTCAACATTTTCACAGAGAAAATTTGACTCAAATAAATTTTGCCCGACTTAGAGTTTCTCTGTGAAAAGTGAAATTTCTCTGAGTCGAGGCCAAATTTCTCTGAGTCGGGCAAAATTTCTTTGAGTCAAATTTTCTCTGTGAAATATGAAAATATTGTATGTCAATTGTCTTATAAAATATTAATTTCAGAGACCTTAAAAAAATTCCCTTTTGTTTTTAGTGAAATTTTTTAATATTTTCAATAATTTTTTACTTTGTAGATGCACCTAACCTAAATGTACCTAAAAAGTAAAATATTTTTAAAAAATCAATAAATACATAAAAATACAAAAATCTACTGAATTTTTGCATTCTTTTTATATTTTTGGTATTTGTGAAAAAAATTTTAAAAAAATTCACAAATACTATAATTTTTAATTGTGTTTATATTAGGTGTATCTAAAACTAAAAAACTTTGCTTAAAATATTTAAAAAAATCATTAAAAAAAAACACTAAAAACAAAAAACTCAAAATTAAACAAATGTGTATGGACAAACTTTATTCTCAAACTATGGTAAAATGTGATTAACAATCATGTTCTTAAAAAATGTTATTGCTCATAACATTTTTTACTTGAATACAATTTGTTAACCACGTTTTATCATAGAGTGAATAAAGTTTGTCCGTATGCTATTTGTTTAATTTTGAACCCAAAAAAAATGTAAAAAGGTTAAAGGCCTGAGAACATACTATGTAAAAAGGTTAAAGGCCTGAGAATAAGCGTACCTTTTTGGTTAGACCTTGGGATGCCATGAGTTCATAGAACTTGCGCATCAGCATTTCTTCCTCTACCTGCAAACATATAGTCAATAAAAGTTCAGCACAGCTCCATTAAAATCAGCATTCACAAACATAACAATCACAGATATATATGTATATATATATATCATACACAAATGAACCATGTGATAAAATCAGAAACGTGTGAACATAATATCCAAGTAATATTTCAGAATTTAAAGCGGAAAGTTTGTCGTACAGATTTGGTGTGAAGAAAAAACATGTTAAATAAGCATTCTCACACCCTACTCCATCTCTTGAATTCATAGCGTACACCACTAAAGAATGTTTCCCCAGTTTTATTAAAATAGCAAACTACTGAAGCAAGCCAACCAAGGCCCCATTGGTCCAAAGAAACTGTCCATAGTAGATATCATATAAGCAATGCCATGTATTATACCTGTCATATTATTGTCAATGGATTGATTACTACCTACATATTTCAAAAATAAAAAATCAAGAATAATTAACATTGGCAAACCTGAAATCAATAACCATTTCAAGAATAGTTCTCTTACTATTGTAGTGTTCACAAATCTAAAACAATCCCATTCTATCTATATAACAATGAAGGGTTGTTTTTGAATCCTGATGGGACTTTTGTCCCTCTGTCAAAATGTGGACCATCAAACTGATACAATCCAATAGCTGAAAAATGTCTAAGAGGCAAATTATCTTTCAATGGTTGAGATTGTTTATTCACATACATCCTACGATGGATATACATTTTCTCCTTATGTTTCTTCTTCCCTCCATCTCTCTCTCTCTCTCTCTCTCTCTCTCTCTCTCTAAAATTCAAAATTGGGTTGTCTCCCTCATCTCTCACTCTCAGAGCTCACTCTTCATCTTCAATCTCCCTGGCAACTGTCACGGCCTCACCTCTATGAGTCACTCATTCCACCGAAAACCCAATACATAGTAGATCGGCAACTTCGCAGATGGTGGGTTTGTTGGGTGCTAGCCTTGCTAGATTGGTGGGTCCAAATTGGTGACATCGCGGCAACAGATCGGATGAGAGGATTTTCTTGACCTTAATCATCAATTTCTCAATGCTCAATAGGTCAGCTATCTCTCTCTCTCTTTCACACACACACAGTTTCTTCAATATGACTATATTTGTTCATTCCTCATGAGGTTCTACTTCTCTCTTTAAAATTTATTAGAGCATTCCATTTTCGGTACTTAGGTCTCACAGTTTCTTCAATATGAATATATTTGTTCATTTCTCATGAGGTTCTACTTCTCTCTTTAAAATTTATTAAAACATTCCATTTTCGGTACTTAGGTCTCAACCCAAAATTTAAGAAATTAGGATACTTTGTCAATGTTGAATTTATCTGTGAATAGAATCAATAATCAACTTATCTTTTCTACAAATTTGGATACTTTGTTTTTGTTTTTTTTTTTTCCCATCCCATCATCCTCACCATCACCAACAAAGCTCTCACTCTCTATCAAATCAAATGAGGGTTGAGGAAAAAATTGGTTTCATGTTAATACACATTTTTATTTCAGGTTAGTCAAATGGGTTGAGAGTTGTTAACATTAAATGGGTTAATGTGAAAGGTTAACCTCAATGTTAACATTAACCTCAAGGTTAACCTCATAGTTTCAAATTAGACAAAATATTTTTAGTATTTATTGAATACTTTTGTATTTACTTAAGCTTTATCTGGCACATTGTTCAGTGGTGATTTGCAGAATGATGATGAGTTGTGATGCACAGAGGATGTGAGCAGTGGATTTTGTTTTGGGAAATGTTCTTATACTTTAAACCCAAATGAAACTATAATTTTTCAAGGCCATTAAAATCCATTGGGGTTTCTGTTTGATAATTTGTCGTTGTATTGCTTTGTTTTCACTTATAAATTCAAATGGCTTTGGTCTGGTTTCCTTTGCTTATATAGAGTTAAGAACCATCATATTGGTTTTCATTTTTCTTGACAATTAATTATTTTCTTTTTTCCACCAATGTCAACAGCTATTATAGGCAGTTTGGAAGTTAATTTCAATAATTTCTGACTTTTATGATTCTTTGATTTTGAAGACCAACACATGCTCTACATGGTTGATTTGTGGTGATTCTCTCTCTCTCTCTCTCTCCCCCTCTAGATTTATATTTAATGGGTTCAATAACTTTTTCATGGTGAGAACCCAAACTTAGATTTTTAGTTATATTTTTCATGTGAATGGGTTGTTATTTCATGCTTTTATTGGTATATTAATATGGGGATTTTGGAATTTTTAGTATGTTGTTATTGCATTATTGTATAAAGAGATTTTCATTTGAACGTTTCTCACCTTCGTTTTTCACTCAATATTTAATGTACATTTGTAATCTCATCATACACCACTAGTTGAGCCGACGTATGTTAGGATTTTGTTTTAGGCTGAAAATTCATAATGGAATGATTCTCACTCACTCCCACCCCCCATCTCAGATAAATCTAAATAAAATTTTGGTTTTATTTAATTGGTACAAATGTATTCAATTTCTATGAAATTCGAAACTTTACCAATGTAAACAATTTTAGGTTGAGGCAAGAGTTATTGATATAAAAGGTAAATTCATGAGTTAATTTGTTTTACACTTATAGAAGTTGAGTCGGGAGTTTTTATTTACTAAGATTTCAAATTTATGGCTTCTTTGTGTTAATGATAGGTATTTGAATTTTTTTTTTTTCAGTTAATTGGTTTTGAATTTCATAACTCAATTATTTGGACTTGTAATACCATCCTGTTCAATCTTTGATTAATCTCATTAACAAAAGTCTTCTTATTTACATAGAATCCTCTAATTGGTTGTTTAGAATTTCATCGTAATCGGTTGGTTTAAGAAAGAAGCCTTCTATTTGTTAGTCTACTTCCAATTTGATTTTCAAATTCTGTTTTTGTTCACAGTGTAATAATTTAACTATGTTTATTGTGGAATCTAATCTCTTTTTGTTCTTGGTATTATTGATTGGCAGGTTATTGATATTGACATAAAACAGTGCATCTTTAGCTTAAATTTTATATTATTAGTTTGACATCTACATATGTGTGTTGTTTTGATTGATTGATTGCTTGAATTAGATGGTTTGATTCTTAGTCTAAATAAACTAACAAAATGCATAGGAAAACAATGTACAATAGCTCATATCTTTGTCAGATTGATTCAATTCAATTCAATTGATAGTATTGAGTAATAGCAAAATCAACTTATATTGTCTTTTGGGTATAAATAGTACAGTTTTATGATTTCATCGTAAAAGAACCACCCGTGCCTACGACACTCTATGTTAAAAATAAAATAAAAATAAAACCACATTCAATTTGGCCCTTCCCTCCAAAAAAAATTCCTTTTAAATATTTAGTTTATACTTGAGACTTGAGCTCATTTCCCTCTTTAATATGTATGAGATTACAAGATATGCTTTTGTTCATGTGAATACAAGATATCTTTTTTTTCTTCCTTCTTTTTTTTTTTCTGTTTTTATGTGAAGGACTACCTTTTTTTTTTCTTTTTTTTTTCTATTTCTTAATCTCAGACAATGTTAAAAAGTTGAGATCTTCAAAATTGAATCTGAAACTCTCACACTCAGATTTTAGTTGGTTTTGCTGAAGGGAAAGCATTAGTTGCTATAATTGAGAAGACCGATGACGGTAATGGACGCATGGTAATCGACTTTCCGATTGATACATTGTTAAGCTTACTCATTTTCGTTGTTATTTTTTTCTCATTTGACAATGCCATTGTCTATTAAAAAGAGAAACCATTGTGTGATAGTGTGTGTTGTCCACTATTAATACACCATTACAACGGTTCAATTTTGCAGACAAGTGGAGTGAGATCAACCGACGACGCTAAGCTAGGATAAGTTTTATGATAATTTCTTTTTTTACTTTGTTTCCCAATCATACGCACTATCGATTTAATTTGTCATTACATACATAAATGAGGGATTTTAATCTCTAATTTGTTCATTTTATTTAATGTGAAATTTGTTATTTCTTTATGATTTTGGGGTTCTTATGTAGAGAGTTGTACTAAATATAATATCTATGTGGCCAATTGGCAGCTTGACAATAGGATGGCGTCACTTGCTTGAAGTCAATTGCTTTTGTTGAGTTGATTTTTTGAATTCTATGATTTTGTCAAAGATCATTTACTCCACTTAGTAGCCCAATAGATGCCAAGTAGGTAGATCAAGTACTACTGGGAGCACATCCTCCTTATTGTTCCTTTGCTGGGACAAAATGTAGCATCACACGTAAATTGAGACAACTCTTCCTAAAAGCTGGTTAATGTTTTAAACTGAGTCCCTAAACATAATGATAGTTTCTTTGTTCTTGATGTTGTTTATTGTAATTTTATATTTCTATTATGATTTCAATATATTAGTTTTCGCAGGGCATAGCATTAGAACAATATTTTCTACTTTTATATTCCTATTATGGTTTTAGGACATAGCATTAGAACAATCAAGCCTAGCCTCATAATTTAATTATATTGCCACTGGGTTTAGTGGCAAAACCAACATTTTGGCTTGGGGGCAACATTAAGCAAAAACCTAAGTTTATATTGCCAATGGTTATAGTGGCAAAACAATATTTTGGCTTGACAAAGTTTTGTCCAGTTTCACAGGCTAATTCCTCACTCAGTTGTGTAGTTATGGATTTTACAGTTAATTTTACATTTGATCAATTAACTGGTTTAAGGATTCCCAGTGGCAGAGAATATATGAGGGGAACTGCGTACAAATCAATTTGCTTCTTTCCTTTTCTTTCTTGGAAGTTTTCTATTTGATTCTCAACTGCAACCATCTGATTGGGGGTTTGATTGGATGAGGGTAGGTGATGATTTGGATATAATGTCTACTTACCAAACACAATTCATACACATTCTTGCACAAACTATAATGTCTCTCTTAATGTTTATGTTTGTGATTAAGTAATGGTTTTCAATTTATGTATTTAATCAATTAATGAACTGGGGTGTTTAGAAGCAGAAGGAGAATAGAATCTCTTGATCCTTTCGTTAATTGTTAATATGATAATGAAAGAGTTGTTTAAATTTGGAAAATTTGACTTAATTCACCCTTGATTGTTTAATGTTAGTTTGATTTTTATTTTTCAAATTTTTATTTACTTTAAGTAAGTTTTTTTACACAACGTGCACGGTTTTTGTAGGGAATGTTTTAAATCACAACTTTGATCACTCAAGTAGGATCTCTTCAATCATTCCAGTTTTTTTATCTTATTGAGGTGGTAGTAATTTTCACTTATTGTTAAACCTTCTAATTATTAAATTTAAGAAAGCCTTCTAATCGTTTCATTAGGCACTACCTAATAAATTGTAATATAAAAATTTATTATACATAAATTGTTTGATCTCTTCTCATCACTAACATAAATTGTTCGATCTCATGTAATTGTTTTATTTTTTGTGAATTCTTGGCACTTGATTAGAGTGATATATTTTGACTTTGACTTTTATTTTTGTTTTTTTTCTTCAAATTTCAGGTGTATAAAAGTGGCAATTGTTCATGATATTGCAGAAGGTAAATCTTTGTATTTAGATTTTTTTATTGGATTTCTCATTACACATTTTTTTGCTGTGATGAGTATATTGAAAAAAAAAAACAATGATAGTGAGAATTTTGAGTAAATTGTTGTATAATGATTAATTGGGCAAAGTTTTTTGTCATGAGCCTGCCTGTAATGGGATTCCAAATTAAATGTAATTATTTATTTTCATTTGTTTTCGTGTATTATCTAAATTGTTAAATTCTTCGTGCTGAATTGAAAAAAGAAATGAAAGAAGAGTTATACTTAGCAATTGCTAAATTGTGAATTCCTATACTTAGCAATTCATATTCATTTTTTTTTTCTTTTTTGGATACAATATTCATATTCATATTCATATTCATTAAGCAGCAACATGTGAATTCACAAGTCATGATATACACTAATCAAGAGACTTGGGAACTAAATTGAAAGGTGCTTGATCATATGTATCAAGAAGGGTTATATTAAAATATTTTTTTATGTTCAATTCCTGTTAATTCATAGTTATTGGTTTCTCTGTTTCTCAAAGGTACTTTGGTGTGATTTTTCCTGTTATGATTTCTTTTAATTGATTTTTTAAAGTGAATTCAAGCATTGGAGTGATTTTGTTGCAGGTGACCAATCCACCTTAGAAACGTTGGGATTGTGTTGTTTTTCTGTGTGTTGATGGTTGGCTCTTTCATTCTAAATTGGATGATTAATCTTTTTTCTTTTTTCTTTTTTAAAACTAGGATGATTACTCTTTTGTACCAAAATGTTCATTCACCATTTCTTGAAGCTTTGAAATTCGATAAAGCGAAAAGGTTACTCAGTTATAATACTAATTTAGACACATTCTTTTATTGAAGGTTGTCCCATTCTAACTCACTATACATGTGTTATTTTGGCGTGAATATCTTTGCTTATGTTGTACACAACAGTTTTATATTATAAATTTGCTATTTAAACTTTAATTATGAAGTTTGCCAATACTGTAATTTGCTATTTCAACTTATGTGTGAAGTTTTATATTGCAATGAAATTGTTATCATTTTGAATTAATTTATTACAATTGATTTCTGTAGCAATAAAATTGTTATCATTTTGAATTGATTTATTTTAATTAATTTTTGTAAAGTACATACACTAGTTATTTAATATCAAAGGGTGATAAAATCAAGGTACTGCTTAAACACAAAATACACACCCACACAGATATCACAGAGAGAGAGAGAGAGAGAGAGAGAGAGAGAGATATCCAAGTTTGGGCTTGGTAAAGAAGTGTATTTTGCTTTTACACTAGTCAATTAAACTATTTTGACAAATACTAAAATTTTTGGTAGATGAGCATATCCTACTTTTACCAAGTTGTGCACTTTCAACACAGTAGGGGTGAGTCCAACCTAATGTAACTAGGTGCCTAAGTACCAATCTTAAAGAATGGCCAAGGCACCAAGGAGGCACCAAATTCTCTTCTTTTATGTCGATATTGGACTAGCAAAGACCATCAACTGATTTCTCTTGGCAAAATCCGACATATTAACACAGTACCAAACATTTTATATCTAGATCATATAATTCCAACTACTCCCACCACAATATATATATATATATATATATCCAGACCTTGTTCAAGAAATATCTAAGGATCTCTGGCAACATTAAATTGATTTATCATTCTATGCTTGCATAAAGCAAGGAGTTTCTATGACTACTTGTGATTAAGTAAAGGACCCTTATTCCAATCACCATAACAGAAAATCAACCACGTTGGGACATTTTACTATCTAACAAAATTAATCTAAAACTGGTTTCACTAAACCAAGATCTTCTCACTAGACATGAACTGAGTGACTCTTCACTATGCAACTTTAGAGTTGCCTTTCTCTCAAATGACATTAACCATATTTGGGTGCATTACTTGAACTAAGTCATTGAATAAGCTCAATCTTCTGCACTTGAAAATGTAATATCCTGGTTATGAACCAGTCAATTTTCACTCCGGGAAAGTCTTAATTGGTAGACACTAGAGAGTACATGTTCGTTTCCTTTGACAAGAAGCAGATGCTTTACACTTCCACTCCGATTCTTTAAGCCCCAACTTTATCATTCAACAAAGATCTTGTAGGTTTGTACTAGCCCTCTATGAGATAATAAAATTCAATACCCTGTAGTTTTGGCCAAGTCCTTAATGTACATTTAAAAGGTCTCAATAACCGAAAGAACAGACTTTTGGGCCTGATCCTAGCCTTAAAATATGACATCCTTAGTCATATATAACTAACTTTTCAATTTTTTTTTTTTTTTTTTTGTTTTGATGACCAAGAGTCCGGACTAGCTTACGCACCGTAACTAATCTCGGATCCACGCAAAGCGCCCCCTCGTAGTGGGAGTTGAACCTGAGACCCCAGGTCCTAAGCGGCACCCAGTAGGCCAACCCCATGGGTTATAACTAACTTTTCACATTCAATGTCCCAAAAACTTAAACAGTCATAAAATGGGTCCAACAATGTATGTATATCAATCTAACAGCCATAATTCACAAATTAACAATATCCATGCTAACACAAACTCGAGTAATTTGGTTTGTTTTACGGCCCTAACACAAATTAACAATATCCATGCTAACACAAATTAACACTATGTTTATATTTTCTTCTCTCTCTCTCTCTTTTTTTTTTTTTTAAGAAAGATTCGAGCAGCGAAAGCAAAATTAAATTGAAGATATAAACAAGAAGGTAATCAAAAAAATGAATTAAAGATTGAAGAAAGCACCTGGAGTTTATGCACTTCGTGGGAGATAGATCTATAGGCATCCATAAGGAGCTCCTCCTGCTTCTCCAAGTGGCTGGCAAATAACAGAAATCAAATCAAATCAAAACAATTCGAATAATAATCATGTATATGCATATTTCTACAATAATTAGGGTTTTACCTTAAGATCTCTCCTGTGTATCTAGGATCCATTTCGATTTAATTAGACATTAAACTTGACGCGTATGATCAAACCCTAGTCCCCGAATTGAAACCCAGTGTCAACACAGTTGAAAAGTAGATTAGAAGGCAATCGAATCGTCGGAGAGTTGGATAAAACCAGTGCAAGATTGTTAAGAACTTGATAAACAAAATCACAACACTCGCACACCAAACAGAGCCCTTGTCATTTTGGTGTGCGAGTTAATAAACCATTCTCTCTCCCTCTCTAGTCTTTCTTCCATTTTTCTCTTCTTTAACCCTCTTTCTCTCTTCAAAAACAGACCCATCAATGGAAAACTCATCAAAATTCTAAGAAAATCCAAACTCATCTTCAAATTACCATCTCATCTAATCTCTCATCAAGGTTTGTTCCAAACACCCACATTCTCTCTCTCCCTCTCACCCTTTCTTCCTCTTTAACCCTTTTTTCTTCAGACCATCAATGGAAAACCCATCAAAATTCCAAGAAAATCAAAACCCATCTCCAAACAGCCATAGCACCAACAGTACAAGCAGTAGCAGCAGCAGCAGCAGCAATGGCCTCAACTACCAACCTCCACCCAAACCCATCACCAAATCCGAACCCAATAACCAGTACCAGACCACCTTCGTCCAAGTAGACACCTCCTCCTTCAAACAAGTAGTTCAACTCCTCACTGGATCATCCGACACTGCCAAACACGCCGCCCGAGAGAAAGCGGCCAAATCCTAGATCTAGATCGAGATGGTGGGAAGAGACTTGAGGGTCTGCCGTCTTCTCTCTTCTCTAGTTTGGTCTGTTCTGTCTTTTTTTTTTTTTATTGAAATTTTGCCCCAAAACGACGTCGTTTTGGGACGCTGCAGGAGAGTGCCGCATGAGAGGGCGACCGAGGATCTGGACTCCATTGCAAGCATCAGCGAGAGTTAGTAAATATAAATATATCACAACAACCAGATATATTGTGTTCCCCTATAAAAAACAAAAAATAGTTTCTTTTCTTGCTTGATTTTCTGGGAAAATTAGCAATGGCCAAGAAAAGCAAAATTCTGATCATCGGAGGAACATGATACATCGGAAAATGCATAGTCGAAGCGAGCACCAAGTTGGGCCACCCAGCCTTTGCTTTGGTCCCAGAGAGGAGTCCTATTTCCGATCCTGTTAAGGAAAAGCTCATCGAGAGCTTCAACAACTCCGGGGTCACTTTGGTCCATGTATGTATATATCATTACTTACTTATATATAAGAAAACTAGCCTATCACCGTGCTATGCACGGAATAATTATAAATATTTATATTTATTTTAAATATTTTTTAATATATAAATTATGTTTTTAAAGATTTTTTATAAAAATAATTTAATAATCTTATCACTAACCATAGTGTATATGAGAAATTAAAAAGGCTACTACGGTAACTATGCACGGGTTGTATCTATAATTATTTGTATGATGAGATTTTAAATGCTGATTAGGGATTTTGACAAAATCAATAAATACAGGCATGTGGAAAGACATTGGATTGAAAAAAAATTAATAAATACTGATCAGGAGATTTTGACCAAATCAATAAATGCTGAGTTTTTTTTTTAAATAAAAAATTTAGAAAATTAATTTTGGGAGATTGGAGCTCTATGTGAATTGTGATTTTTAAATATTTTTTTTAAATGTCTTCTTTTTTTCGTTTTTTATATTATATTAAAGTTTAATATTTTGATAATAATCATATGTGTTGGACCTTTCAAGAAATTAAATGTCTTTTTTTATTATTATATTATATTAAAGTTTAATATTTTGATAATAATTATATGTGTTGGACTTTTCAATTTTTTTTTTTTTTTATACTTGTTCTTAATGCATTAAAGTGTTATTAAGAGAGATAATAATCATATGTGTTGAGACTTTTCAAGGAATTCATATGTGTTGGATTTCAAAGAATTTTTTTTATGCTTGTTCATAATTCATTAAAGTGTTATTACGAGGGTAAGACTTTAGAGTTGGAAGAAGTTAATAAATGCTAAGATTTTTTTTTTTAAATCAAAAAATCAAAAAATTTAGATTGGGAGATTAGACCTCCCATAAGGCTTGGGGTTAAAAACCCCCTTTTGCTTAATATATAGTACTAGCATATCACCCGTGCTATGCACGGATTGTGTTTACAATTATCTATATATGTGAATTGTGATTTTTAATTTTTTTGTTTTAAATGTCTTTTTTTTTTCATTTTTTATATTATATTAAAGTTTAATATTTTGATAATAATCATATGTGTTAGACTTTTCAAATAATTAAATGTCTTTTTTTTTATATTATATTATATAAAAGTTTAATATTTTGATAATAATCATATGTGTTGAATTTTTCAAAAAATTTTTTTATTCTTGTTCTTAATGCATTAAAGTGTTATTATGAGGGATAATAATCATATGTATTGAGACTTTTCAAGGAATGTGTTGGATTTTAAAGAATTTTGTTTATCCTTGTTCTTAATACATTAAAGTGTTATTATGAGAGTAAGACTTGGGAGTTAGGAGAAGTTAATAAATGCTATAAAAAAAATTAAATCAAAAAATTAGGAAATTTAGATTGGGAGATTGGAGCTCTCACATGGCTTGGAGTTAAAAACCCCCTTTTGCTTAATATATAGTACTAGCATATCACCCGTACTATGCACGAATTGTATTTACAATTATCTATATATGTAAATTGTGATTTTTAAATATATATATATATATATATATTTTGTAAATGTCTTTTTTTTTTCTTTTTTTATATTATATTAAAGTTTAACATTTTGATAATAATCATATGTGTTCGACTTTTCAAGGAATTAATTATCTTTTTTTTTATTATATGATATTAAAGTTTAATATTTTGATAATAATCATTTGTGTTGCACTTTTCAAGATTTTTTTTTTATACTTGTTCTTAATGCATTAAAGTGTTATTATGAGGGATAATAATCATATGTGTTGAGACTTTTAAAGGAATTCATGTGTGTTGGATTTCAAAGAATTTTTTTCATACTTGTTCTTAATGCATTAAAGTGTTATTATGAGGGCAAGACTTGGGGGTTGGGAGAAGTTAATAAATGCTAAGGTTTTTTTTTTTTTTAAATCGAAAAATTAAGAAATTTAGATTGGAAGATTGAAGCTCCCACAAGGCTTGGGATTAAAAACCCCATTTTGCTTAATATATAGTATAGATAATTATCTACATATATGAATTACGATTTTTAAATGTCTTTTTTTTATATTATTTTTAAATGCCTTCTTTTTTTCCTTTTTATATTATATTAAAGTTTAATATTTTGATAATAATCATATGTGTTAGATTTTTCAAGGAATTAAATGTCTTTTTTTTATTATATTATATTCAATTTAATATTTTAATAATAATCATATGCGTTGGACTTTTCAATATTTTTTTTTTTATGTTTGTTCTTAATGCATTAAAGTGTTATTATGAGGGATAATAATCATATGTGTTGGGACTTTCCAAGGAATTCATATGTGTTGGATTTTAAAGAATTTTTTTTTATGCTCGTTCTTAATACATTAAAGTGTTATTATGAGGGTAAGACTTGGGGGTTGGGAGAAGTTAATAAATGTTAAGTTTTTTTTTTAAAATCAAAAAATCAGAAAATTTAGATTGGGAGATTGGAACTCCCACAAGGCTTGGGGTTAAAAACCCTCTTTTACTTAATATATAGTATAGATAGATCAGATTTTTGTATATACCATTTACAAAAAATAAAAATAAAAATCAATCAATCAAATAATCGTAACATTTATATTTTATCACGTTTGTTACACACACACAAAAAAAAAAAACAAAAAAAAAACAAAAACAATGGAAAATTTTAAATATGTTTTTTGAGGTTCGCTTGAAATACATATTGTTTCATGTGGTTTAAAAAATTATAAATACCTCTTTGTCATAATTTTTTATTTAACAAAATTAATTAAAAAAATAAAATTTTTAACTGCTCTCCTATACAATGATAAAATTACTTGAATTAATAATTAAAATAAATTTATAACATCATTAAAAATTATTAATTGATTTAATAATTTGTTAATAAAATAGACCATTTGTTGTAAAATTAGAAAATTCAAGGAGGGTGATGTAATTTCCATAAACACATAAATCGTATTTTAAGCAAATTACAGGGGATATATTTATAATTTATCTAAAAATTAAATAATAAATAATTTATCCAAAATAAATAAATAATATACTTTTAAAGTAAAGAGAAATTTAGGCAAAATCTCTCTATTGCACCTTATTTGGTGAAAAAGACCGTCCAATTTATTTTGTTTCATAAACCCTCTAAGGAGGAGGCGCACAATTGAGTAAGAACAAAGTAAAATATCTTCTTCTTTTTTTCTTGGACAATATTGTCAGAGTAACATGTTACTATTTACATCAATTTCGACAATAATAATTTTTTTTTAAAGAATTTCATAGTCAACATGAATCTTATTTGATAGATCTTGATGAGAGGATTCTAGAAATACTAATTTTATTAAAAACGGACATCTTGATCAAAAGTTATATTATTTTAAATTAAAATTTAATATTTTGATAATAGTGATATGTGTTGAACTTTTCAAATTTTTTTTTTTTATATTTATTCTTAATATATTAAAATTTTATTATGAGGTGATTTTGACCAAATCTTTCAAAACGAAACCATCGATTTTGTGTGTATGGGATAAATTTGATAATTTAGTTGTTGATTGGTATGGGTTTGGGTTTGGGTTTAGGTTTGAGTTTGGGTTGAGGCAAATTTGGGTTGGGCTTAATAAGCCTAATTGACAGCCACTGGCTAGGCCCGAAGTCTGAGGCCGCACAAAAGTCCCGATTATTTTTTGCATGAGTAATGTTGTATAAATAAAAAATTTATATACAACTTTTGTACATATAATATAATTTATTGTGAACATTGCATTTTAAAATAAAATATTATTAAGAATTTATTTATTTATAATAATGATATTATCACATCATTCTTATCAAAAAAAATTTGTATAAATTCTATGTAAAATTAAAAAGTATTACTCATAAGAAGAGCTTCATCATTATAGTTGTTTTTTTTTTAAAGGAAATTATTTAGGAGAAATCAAATCAGTGATATTTACAGAAAATAGTTACAAAATAATGATAAATTTTATAAATACTAATAATTATAATTATAATTTTTTCATGAATCAATTATTATTTTTTAAA